TGTAAGCGGATGGGTTAAGTGGCTAAGGTTTGACGATTGATATCTTAGTAAGGAGATGAGATACAATCATGAAATTTTCAGCACCACTGGATCAAGGCATTATCTAACGAATGATGAGCTTTAAAAGATTTCATCAAGTTGATAAGATCTTGGTTTCAGAGGTTTTGTCAGAATCGGTGTTTCAACTCAATAGATGGCGCTGCGATTAAGAAACTCTGTCCAATAATTTGGCAAAGGTTGCTCTATATTGTGGTCAAATTTCGTAAAGAACGGTTGCGTCCTCTCAGAGATATGAGCGTTCAAAGATGTACAATTTAAATGAAACGCCCTGTATATTTACGACAGTGGTGAATAGGTCTGTGAAGACAAACTATAAATGCGTGGACAGTATTAGTGCTATTTATGATACTATCTTGTATTTGACGGAGTGACAGTTCCTCGAAAGACCTCTATCAAATATCTTGGGAGTAGTCATCGATGAGTGGCTAAAATTCGATCTACAGGCTGAAACCGTGTTTTGAAAAGCCTTCAGTCGCTTCTTCATCGTGGTCAATTTACTCCATACTGTGTCCGGCGCCCGTGGCCCAATTGTGAACTTTGTCCATGCGTTTGTTTTACCTCTACTGCAAATTGCTCTTCCGATCTACTGTGGATACTTGCACAAAGGAAGTGCTTCTCTCTTTACGAGGGTTCTAAAACGTCTAAAACGCCTTTGTGATTGTAGACCTCATGACTTCATTGAGATGATTTTGACATGTTTATCAAACAAAAGCTGTGATCTTTTTGTGAAAACTCAAAAATAAAATTAACCATCCATTGGTCAACGATGTCCCCAACTTAATGCCTTCTGGATCGTACCAGTCAATATAACAAATTTTGCTACCCAAAATGAGGATTGAGATGTTTAGAAGTTTCATTCAACAAATGGTAAGATAGGAGAAGTTCTGTTGCTAAGACTCTGAATCTTTTTAACCTTAGTTTTTCAGACGTTTAAGAGAGAATTGACGGACCGACTCAAATTTGATAATAAACCATACCACAAAAACCATACCATCGTGATCTGAACTGGTGCCTCTGAAGCTCACGGTGATGTTTTGTTGTTTCGATGTCTTGATGCCGATATTTTGCCATGGAACCGGGCGATGTGAAGGTCGTCAGTCTTTCCACACGCAAACTCGAGGGAAAAGTTATACAGGAGCGAGGTCGTTAATATCGCCGAAGTCGCTTTATGAAAATAATGGAGAAAACATGCGTTTGAGCAAAACGTCGACGGTAAAGAATCGCTGGTTGTGCAAGCCTCCACTTCTTTCATCAGTTTGTCAAAACTCCATTTGCTCGAGAACTGAGAGATCTCTGCTCGACACTGAGATTCAAGGCACAAAAACTTAAAATGTCCTTGAAATCCATTTCACGTCTCTCGTCACGTCCCAAGCTTTTCGGGCCCAGTTGAGATCTTCGAAACTCGCAGAATTTCGGAGATCTCATTCAATAAATTGCCAGGGATGAGCCATGCAATTGATCGAACAAACAGTAGCAGTATGAGCGAAATTTATTGATATTGGACAGGTAACAGTCGATGCAACCATATGATTTACGTGGATAAATAGCAAAAGGAAATCATTCCTCAGAGGTCTCAGGACAGCATTGACTTGGATCTTCTCCCGGTTTGAATGTCAACCCGACTTCCTTGTGCTGTGTGGCCATTGGGAAGCGCTGCCTGAGACATTCAGACCGGCTGATAGGGTAAGTTAGAAAAAATTACAGGCCAAGGGCCTTTTTGACAACAAAGCCCATTCTAGTGGGTATGGGGGGAGGACAATAAATTTGATTATATTTCAAAATATGGGTGCAAAATGGACAATTAACATTTTTTACTTATTACTCTGAGCTTTCGCAAAGACAGGGGATGACAGGGCTAAGTGAACAAGGCGGAATGAGTCCTGCTCAGCTGGTCAAGGTTCTAATACGAGTTTGATGAGTTGAGAATATGCTTACATGTTTTCACATCTCAATTAGAGTCCTCTTATAGATGAATGTTCGCAGACATGAATGGGTAATTGGATTGCGAATTTTGTAGTGTATGCAAAATAGAATTTGCCGGAACTGGGACATGAACCGTCTCAGAAATACTGTTCGCACCACTGGTCACGGTTGGAGCATTTTAGTTGGTGTTTCCTTGAAAGTAGTAGCCCTGGCTTGTCACACCCTTTTGCCAGCGCCTGGATAGGTCTTCGAAACAGGGGCGAACGCATTTGTTTCGACCTTGAGCACGGCCGTCGCAGCTTTCATCACATCGGCGGTGGAAAAGCGTCTTCCTTTCAGAAGATTCTTCTTTTGCGAGAACAGACAGAAATCGCAAGGAGCGAGATCAGGCGAGAAAGGCCGTATGTGGCAGGGGAGTTCTTCCCTTGGCTGCAAGAACTGCGTCACCATCAGCGACCGAAGAGTGTGTGCGTCGTCTTGGTAAAAATCTAGACCCTCCTCCTTGAAACCACTCGAACACCTGGGACCTCGACATCATATTGTTATCGTATGCTTCCTTCAACAATGTGAGGGAGTTTGTGTAGGAATTTTCCCCAATTTTTGATTAGATTTGACATTCGGTCGACTTGTGACATGTTCGTTGAAAAGACATCCGAGCGACAAATGGCAATTGATACTTTGTCCGTCATGGTGGGGTATGGCAGCCTTCAGCCTCCCGAGACTTCGCATGCGGATAGCGCATAAAGTAGATCTCTTTTTCGGTGATATGTTCTGGCTGTCCAGTCTGGACACACTCCTCCCAGTCCGGAAACTTTTTGAAATTGGTACTTATAGCGTCATTCGCTTTGTATCTTCTACAGTAGATTCTTGAGATTCGACAATGTTTCATAGCATCACTTAATATTTTTGAGGAATATGAGCGGTGGAAGACAGAAGAGCTTGAAGGAGGGAGAACTCTGACGTTCAAACATAATCTTTGCACTTCTGGAAGGAACTTCGCTATGAAATGTTCCTCTGGAAGTGGGCCCTTCCCTCCCTTATCCTATGCATGAAACTTCTACCACGAAGCGATAAAACGAGAAAACTTTTTCGCCTGTTCCTCAACTCCGATAAATCGCTCCAACTGTGAATACAATGCTTGAAAGATGGTCGCACTTTTTAAAATAATGTCACCGACATTGGTAAAAAAAAAAAAAACACGGTAGGAAATTGATGACAAATCTCGCTCTCTCGCGAACGTAAACTTATGCGCAGAATGAGAGGTTTCGATTGACTTCAGGAAACTCCTCGATGAAGGCCACATTCCAATCATTTAAGGACGTACTTGTATCCTTGCAGCAAAACCCTTGTGATATGGAGAGGAAAAAGGAGGTGATGCGTAATCCTCATTTACGTCCTCGTTTCAAGTGGTTCCTCCCGATAAGAATTCAGAGAAAGAAAGCTCCTTAACCCTATGCGTCATAGAAGTGTTTTGAAACAGGATAGTTTTGAGCGTCTGCCGTGCAGTGGACGGCGCTGCCGCCCTTCCAGTCCTTCGGCTCAGAAAAGGATCCCAGACCAAGAAAATACTCGGGACTCCTTTCCGTTACAAAGTTCAATGGATTTGCTTAGAACAGTGATTCTCGCTTTTTGAAGATGTGATCTTCATTCTGGTATTTTTTCTCTCTCCCCCGAGAGCCACTCCTGCAGAGTTTTCGTAGGAGCCCGCCAAAAAAAGATATTGACTTGCAGATAACAGTGCCCAATGTGACAAAACAGATAACAGTGTCAAAAGTGCCCTTTTTGCTGTTTGCATCATTTCCCTATGAAAAATGAAATTAATGTTCATTCAGGCTTAGTGTGCGGGCTCCAGTCCCCTGTCTTGAACTCCCCATAGATGCCGGATATCCTGCTGAAGTTATGTCGATTTCACGACTGCTTTTGCTTTCGTATCGATGCATGAGTCTTGATTTTTTTTATATACAATATTTTTTGCTGCTGAGTTCATGGGATGAGGTGAGACAACATGGAGAAACTTTCAGGTAATCATATCCATGGAGTTCTCCGTCGATGGGGAGGTCAAGACAGGGGACTGGAGCCCGCACACTAAGCCTGAATGAACATTAATTTAGGGGGGGGGGGGGGGGGGGGGGGGGGGGGGGGGCTAATAAGAAGTACTTCATGTAAATAGCAAAATGGAAAATGTACACTATTTCCCTCTTTGGAAAATCCATCAAACATCCATTGAACTCGAAAATTTATGAGCATGATTTCCTAAATATTAATAATAAAAAATACAGGAAATCTCGAATCAACGCGCACCTGAATATCCTATCGAGAACTTCAGTGACGGTTTCATGATGAAGAAAATGCAATCGGAATGCAAGTGAAAATCGGCATCCCTCCTCTCCCCCAAGAGAATATCAGACATGGGATGCTTTTAATACCCCTTGTAACACGGCGATGAGAAGGCTCTTCAAACGTGGGAGGGGGAAAAAAAGGAAGGCGATATAAGAGAGGAGGGGGATGGGGGAGATTGGGGAAGGGGGAGGGAGGTCTGCGACACGCCCATGTCATTTAATCCTTCCTCCATCCAGTTTCTCAATACGCACACACGCTGGTATGTCCGGCAGTGACGGTGTTCCCGTTGGAAGTGGATATGAAGGTGGCAGGGAATTCTCTTTATCTCGTCTGCCTCTTCGCCTCAGGTTGGTCACATTTTTGTAGTGCTCGAGGAAACCGTCCGGGATTCGAACATGAAATTCCTGACTCCGGAATCGCGGAAGTTCTTGCTCAAAAAATCCAAGACAATTTTTTCTTCGAAGATTTCTTCGACGTATACGAAGGTTTCTCAGAAATGTCATAAAGTAATAGCCTCAAGTTATAGCCTCTACGGGTTCTCTAAATTCCTGACTGATTTTATCTCGTCGAATGCTTTCTCATATCTTTATTGATGAATATCACCTCTCATGATTGGTTTTCAGGGATAGTCTCAGGCGAGATGCAGAGAAGCGAGAGGAGGGAGAGAGAGTCTCTGCCTCTCCTTAAGGTTCTCAGTCTCCTTGTGAGTTTCCCGTCCAGCGACTTTGCAGTGAATCTCGTCATTTTTTGTGCTTCCTTCAAAAGGTTCATGGTCTAAAATATGAAAAAAATCGTGTGACCCAAGCCTGGATAAAAATTTTTTAATTCCTTCTCTTGAGATAGACATAACAAAGTAATTTCTATTATTCTAAAGTCAACTTGCTTTTTCCCGAGGATAAAGAGGAGTTTCTTCCAACCGCCAACCCCCGCAGCACCACTGCAGCAGTGCTGCAGTGCAGCACTGACTCAGTCGGTCCCGTCGTATCGGCTGGGAGACGATCTTAGATTGTGGCGCCTGCGAATCGAGCTGCATTAGATGGGAAGAACGGGATTGCACCGTATCAAAGAATTACCTCGTCAATCCATTTAAAAGTTTGCCGCTTGTAAGCCAAAGATGACTGGTCAAAGTAGAAGACGTTTAAAAGAAAAAAAAGGCAAGAAACTGGAGAGCTTCCAGACAACCTTGATTAACCGATTTTTTAAGTTCTAAGAGCTACAATTTTCCAATTTTTCATTTCCTAAACCTTAACTTTTTATTCTCCCATGTAATTCTATGAGAAAATATTTATGGGTTTTCAACATGGCGATCTTTTCTCCAAACCATACAATAACAAGGTGTTTCATTACTGCGTTCCCTCTTAACTTTTCATATAGGGTAAGCCTGCCTAATTCTGTGATAGTCGCACCTATAGCCATTCACAGAGTGAACTGTTACAGTTTATGTGAATGCCACGAATGCCCGTTAGATAGCAGCATTAGAGGCCGACTTAAATGATGTATCCATTAATAAATACTAAATTTATTTAGTATGCATCACTTAAGCATAGTTCCATTTTCACCAAAGTCTTTGTATCACAGAATTGGGTAGGTTTACCCTAGTTCTTTCACTCTCGGCTTCTCAGGACCCTCCGTACCTGATGATATCGGGAGAGGATTTTTTCACAAACACGAAATACGAGGGCGTCCTGGTGGACCTCCTGGACCAATTGGGGGACCTGGTCGGCTTCCAGTACAAAATCGAACTGGTGAAAGACGGAACCTATGGTTACTACAACCACGCCACTCAGACTTGGACGGGGCTCGTCGGAGGAGTCATAGCCGGTGTAATTTTCTCTATTCTATGTTTCCCTTTCCCACTGAAAGGCTTCTTCGTGGAAGGCCCCCACCGAGCTTCTGCTGATAGGTCTGACGAAAAAAAGAAACCTATTACCTCGTATAATAAATTCTTCAATGCAGAGGAAGCGAAGCGCAACGTGCATTTTCCATTAAAAACTTGCAGAGAATCCACGTCACGTAGTCACTTTTTCATCTATTTTTTTACATCAAGGCGGGAATGCGTTTAGGAATCTCTACTTTTTACCAAAAAAAAAAGAAATGAGGACCTTTCTCTTTGAGAAGGGCAGATCGTGATGTTTCACTATGAAAGTCTTGTATTGCCGTTGAAAACGTTGCAGCTTTTATAAAAAAAATTAGATACAAAAAATGAGAAACATTGAGATAATGATAAATATGTCAGACGATGATAATGCTGAATATTATAATATATAATCCTGGATCATATAATTAGAAAGTGGCAATGCAAACATGGTCGCTCGCGACGCTTTTAATCGAAGATGATGAATCTATGGACCAGGAAGGAGATATGGCAGCAGCTTCTCTCACGATCTCGTCGGCTCGCATGGAAGTTGTGGAATTCACCAAGCCATGGATGTACAGCGGCATCAGCGTTCTCTACAAGGTCAGGAAGACTTTGGATTTTGGTCTGGGGAACATTTGTAGTATTAGGTGGAGGCATACAGTTGAGAAAAATTTTTCGATACGAGCAGTATGTACCAACACGGTGTGCATACACAGCAAAGCAGAAACATACAGTGAGGTACATATGTTGTACGTTATGAGGTACAAACGCACGTCGTAAAATACGTTCGTTGAAAAGGTACCCGTGGCAATGAAGGTACACATGTGTACCTTTCTTATTTCTATTAATTTCGGGCTTAGGGGCGTTTAAAAACCTGTTTATGAACCTCAATTATCAGCTTTGAAGAGAGCTTTAATGGCACCATCATCCCGCACCCCGTCTCTGACAGGCAGCAAACTGTCACTGATGATACGCGGACAGTCTCCATTTCGCACTGGACGTGCTGACTGTCTTATGAACAGTGTCTTTTCCAGTTACCATGGGGCCATTAGGTAACAAGACCACCTTGTTCTACATGGGCAGTCTTTCAAGTTGGCTGCTAATTCTTCATAAAGAAAAAAAACTCGTAACCCGTTGATTCATACTTCTCTGTTCCCGTACAAAACCCCAGCGTTTAAAATTTTCCAGAATCATTGATTGCCATTGAAACATGATAATTATTCTTTTACCAAATACTGCTTTACAAGTAACATGATACGATGAATTCAGGGAAAGGAAGAAAACTCTTCTCCTATGGTCTGGTGCGTCCCGACTCGACTTCGAAAGTTTGGGGGAACATAAATGTCATCTTATGCCGATTTTAAGTATTGCATTGAGAATCCGGACATCTGCGTCTGCAACGTACATATGTGTACGTCTGAACCACACTAGTGGACCCGAGGGACCTCTCGCATTTGTACCTCTCCTCGTACGTTTCTACTTTGCTGTGTACGAAATGGCCCCCTAGAAATGAACTTAAATGTGCTTTTTTATTTTCGACCTTGACAAATCGCTAAACGTACTCTTGGGATCTTGCAGGACTTATTTATCAAATATTTATTTATGCTTGTACATTACTTTCGGTGCTTAACAAGTTTCCCCTTCACTAGAGAACGAAATAAATGATATGTCTCAAACGAAGAATGATTTCTATTTCTTGGACGCTAAGGAAAGAATCTATTTCTTTTACAAAAAACAGAGCACCGAGCGAGAAATCCTACACGATCTCAATAATTTTTTTTTCACAGCATCTTCCCGTGGACTCCGGAAGTGGATGGATGTTCCTGCGTCCCTTCACACTGTCCACGTGGATAGCCGTGGCAATCATGTACGTGGCCGTGTCGTTAGCGTATTGGGCAGTGGCCAGGTGCTCCCCCGAGGAGCGGCGGAGGTCCACAGTGAGTGGAGAACCTGTCTTTGGCATCTTCAATACCTTTTGGGTCGCCTTCACTCCTCTTCTCCTAAGGGGGAATCAGGAAATGCCACAGGTACTGTCCGTACTTCATAGACAGGCTCTTCTTTCCGGTACACGGCGACTTAGTGCGTACTTAGATATCACGGTGAATAGGCTCATCTTTTTTATAACGTAAGAGAGTTCTCAATCATTTCACACCTATTACCATCTGAGAGAACGGGATTCATCTACATCCTTCGGTTTCCCATAACCTTCCTGATATAACCTGTTATGCAGTAGTTATACCACGCTATCATCGTGTATTGAGTAGAGCGTCATTCAGAATATTTTGCAGGAGGGACCAAAATGTGAGACAATTGTCCTCATTCTTCCATGAAAACTTTTTTTATTCCTTGAGTTGCATAGCGTGCGTGAGAGCCGGGACACAAGTTTGAAGATTAATTTGCACACTTAATTATGGATGTGATTTCGAAAATATCCTCAGCACTAATGCTTATCTTTGAAAAATATTAAGAATAAGTAATCAATAGCACTCCTTGATTGTTGAAGTCTTCAAATTTGGGCGGAACTCGGCTGTTCGATGAAAAGCTTGGCATTCTTCAGCTAGAATCTTGAATATTTAAGACAAGGCAGAATGTTCCAAACGTCAGCAGCGGCGATGGTCTCACAAATATCTTGCATTATTGTCTCATGATAAAATTAATGCAAATAAATATGGTCCTGAATGAATGCATAATGATGAGATAGAAATTAAAATATGATGCATCGTATCTTCTCGAAGGCCTTGTCAACGAGGCTCCTGACGGGGATCTGGTGGTGTTTCTCCCTCCTCATCCTCGTCCTCTACAGCACAATGGTGGCGAAGGAGTTCACGACTGCGCATTATAGACCCAAGGTTACCTCTTGGAAGGACCTTGCCGATGGAGTCGTCAATTTCGGTGCCATCAAGCGTAGCTCCACCGTCAAGTATTTTCAGGTTGGCCGCGAAAAAGTCATATTTTGGAACGGTTGATTTCGCCATAACGATAGAGAAAGTGCAATGTGTTGGGTTTTTCCTGCGTCGTGGTTCAAGTTCGTAACATCAAGCTAAGTAGAGCAAAAATGTGAGGTAGCAAACCTCCATAAAAATCCGGTAATTGATCGAAGATTCTGTTTGGATATCCAAAATTACACACTATACTAGATATTTTAAGCTATCAAGTTCGGCAATATTTTAAATATTCGCTAAAATGTAAGAGGGAGATTCAAGAGGTTTATCATGATACCGAGCAAATATGACCCAAGTGGCCGTGCCAATGATGGGGTTGAAAGTATCCAAAACTGCCAAAACCAAAAGGAAGCATGTCTGATCTACTGAGCAGTCCTCGATGCTTCAAAGGTATAACCACTGCGAATAAATGCAAGTTAGGTTGTTGAGTAAACAAGTTAATTGGCTCTGTAAAGTGGCGTAGTGCATAACACGGCGGCGGCAGGAGACGTTAGCGCGATGATAATGAGACCAAAATCCTCTGAGGCTAGCAAAACGACGCAACCTAGTGCTCGACGAAGACAGTAGGATAATATCTTCTCAAAAAATAAATTCACCTATGCATCCAGTACAAATTAAACTCAGCCTTCTCTCCAGTTTTCGACTACCAGGTTGATCGTCATTTAAGTTTCCGGATTTACTTCCCCCCCCCCCCGACCCCGACCCCACAAAAACAAAAAAATTCGTTGCAATCGACTCAAGGACTCGGTGTTAAAGATCCTATTGAAGTTCAAGGATGAAAAAGATTCTATTGACGAGTGTGCCAATGACAAATCTGGAACAAGGGATAGTACACCCACCTGGTCCCACCCAGATCAAACAAGCAGCTCGATCCTTGGTAGGATTCGAGGATTCCCGAATATCAGAAGATCAGCGATTTTCTGGCCTCCCATCCGGAATTCTTGACCTCGGGCAGCACCGATGGGACTCGTCGAGTTCTGGAGAACCCAGGGACGTACGCCTTCCTTACGGAGACCACGACGGCTGAATACCTAGCTGCTACTCTGTGTCAAGACCTCGTCGTTGTGGGTCCTGAATTTCAGCGAAGGGCTTTCGGTTTCGCCTTGAAGAAGGGTATGTCCACGTTTTACATGCGGATAGTCGATGCGTGCAAACGTTATTTTTCAAAATTGTTCAAATACGGCGGACTGGACGTTTGGATTGCACACAGTAAAAATATATGACACGAAAAAAATCTAAATAAATTATTAATAATGCGATAAAAACAACTCAAAATGAATTCGCTCCGGTTGTAAAAAGTTAATCAATATCAAGAATGAAATTCTTCAAATTCAACTAGAACTTTAATATATCCAATTAAGTCCTGTATCTGAAGACCAAGGAATGTATATAAATTATTTGAAAGGTTCGACGTGGACGGATAAGATGAGCAAAGGGATCCTGCAGCTGCAAGAACAAGGTGCCTTGCACGCTATTTACAGGAAATATTGGAAGGATCGCTCCAAGTGCCCTGACACCACCAAGCAATTCGACCAGCCGCAACTGGACTTACCTCATCTCGGTTAGCTCATTCATGCACAAAAGGTTACGTTCTCTTTTATTTCTTTTTATTACGTCAATATTTTAAACAATTTTGACAGGTGGGATATTTGTGGCGCTGGGAATCAGCATCTTCCTGTCTCTTCTGGTCGCTTTCCTGGAAGTGTTACTCTACGTCCGCAAACGTGACCCGACACAGGTTGGGAACCTCATCTTAATATTTTATTGTCATGGGTTAGCCCTAAATCATGGGAGTCAAGATACAGTGAATCAATATCAAAGGAATCATAAGGGGCTTAAAAACATGCTTGAACTAAGAGTGGCCTCGCAAAGTTATAATTGGCCTACTGCATCATCTGAGAAAAGTTTATTTTTTTCAATACTTTATTTCTAATTCAGTGTTTATTGGCTTTTCGGAATTTATTCGGGCATAAGGCTCATATGTTTTTCTTTTTTTTTATTATTTCGTTGCAGTCTCTTGGAGAGGCTCTAGTTGGCGAATTCCGGCAAATCTTCGGTCTCAGCATCTCAAAGTCTTGGGATCGGCAAACATTGACAGAAACTTCTTCAAATACAGAAACTTCATAGCTTCTTCGTGATATTTCCATGCAATTACATTATTTTTCCTCCTTTCTTGAGCGGGAAGTCATATTAAATGGTGCTGGATAGAATAAACTGGGGCGATGCGATGGTTAGTCTTTCCATACCAAAACTCTAAAAAGTGGGAATATGTATATAGGAGTAAGTTGTTAATAGTGCCAAAGTCGCTCTTTGAAAAGAATGGAGATGACATGAGTTTGAACAAAAACGTGAAGGTAGAGAATCAGTGGATGTGCAAGACTTCGTTTTCTCTTCAATCAGCTTGTCAAAAACCCCACTTCCTCAAGGAATGACAGAGATCGACATTGAGATTTTGACGCCAACTCTATGCCATGGCAGAGTGAAGTGAGCAAAGCGAAATAAGACCTGCTCAGCAGGTCAGGACGAGTGCGATGAGTTGATAACGTCTTACGTGAGAAGGAGCTTCCGGCCGCATGTGCCACTGTCTTCGAGGGTACCGTCCCGATCTAGAAAAGTGGGAAATGAGCATGACAGGCATGACAATTTTGGAATTGAAATTTTAAATTGGGATCAATGGAATTTGCGGTAACTGGGATATGAACAGAGTCTGAAAAACTGTTTCGAATGAGGAAATCGCATGGGTTTAGTACTGAGTTGTCAAGTGCGATTTCCCTTCTATTTCTTTTCCCCTGAGCTATGATTCAAACTGTTCTTCGTGAAGAAAAAAAAATTGAAGAAAAATTGTGCACTTCCAGTGCAATGCGTAGAAGGTTCACATAAACTTCGTTCCACCATCTCCCTTGGTGAAATGCAGTCCAAAAATAATCACGTAGACGGAAGTAGATGATAGGGCGCGTAGTTGACAAATGCTGAGGATTTGGGCGACTTCTCGTAAGACTTCCATACTCTTTGAAGCGCGAATTTCTCTAATTCTAATAGAATTTCTCTAAATCTGTTTGAAAGATCATGTCGGCCTTTTATACTATTTATTTTTCACTTTCTGCTGAGTAATAACTCATACACGTTCATTCACATTTTAACATTGCACACTTTGATGCGGTGCGTGTACCAATTTTGATTGTTTTATCATGCTCATGAGACCAAAAACCAAGAAAAACCCTTTGGCAGGAACTGATCGTCATTTCTTCTCAGACCCATGTGGAATCCTGGGCGTCGCACTGTACCTTCCTCAACCGATTCCAGTGTCTGGAAAATGTCTATATGCCTTTTTTTCGTCCTCTCATGCCATCCAACTTTCCCTTCCCGGCCACCTGCATTACAGTACCCCGGAATCGCTACAGTAGGTAATAAGTAATATTCTTTTGATCAAGTTTTCATCGAAAATATGTTTCAAAGCGATAAAATATTTTGCCAGTAAGTTTTTTTCACTCCAAAATAACTTATAAATTATTCAAAGCGTTAAAATAAAGTTAAAAAAAAAGGGAAAGGGGTCCAGGCGCATTTTGCGATACCCAAGATCGGTAACTCATAAGAAACCATAAGGCTAACGTTTCCAATATGTCATGCATGAAATATTGAATTTCCCCGGGCAACGCCGGGTACTTCAGCTAGTGTTCTATAATAGCATTTAGTATTACAGTCGACGCCGCATATTGGAATACTTCATGGGACCAGCGAATTTAATTCTATAATCCGGAGTATTCCAATAACTGTAACTATCTGCTCTATCGTATCGTAAATCAGGACCGTGCAATGGTATTCCAATAAGCGGAGCATTCCATTAAGCGTATTCCATTATGCGGAGTCGACTGTATTAAGAAATACGAATCAAGCAAGACAGAAGAGCTTGAAGGAGGAACCAAGGATTTCAGCTCACAATAATCTCTCTCTCCATCGGAGTATCCAGCGCACATGAAGGACTCCCGAATGGCCTTCTGGTGGTCTGCGTGGTAGAACATAGCCCGACACTCCCTGTTCGTCGTGAATGACACCTCCACTTGCATCAGGACGTCAGGTATGGGCTGTCCTGGGAGTTTTCATCCTCATCATTATCCGCAGTACGGATTGCCAACAAATCACGACTTTGGGGAAGTGGGAAAACCATCAGTTGAAAATGAACGAGATCCTATCTAACAAGAATGAAAAATTCTGAATCATACATTTCAAATTAATTACTAAAGGAAAGTTATGAAATAAAAAGAAAAATCTATACAAGGCCAAAAATCTGGGACAATGATTTTGCCCCCAGAAATTGGTGTACGCCATCACTTCGGGATGAAAATGCCAGTAATTAAATCTCTGCTTTAATGATCAAAACTATGGACTTTATGATCTTTTATTATATTGCCCAAAGGAGTGAACTCCAACTGAACGGGTAGCTATTAACGAAGACCCTTACCTCTCAGAGTCAGATTAATGAAACATGCACAATTGCGTTTCTCAGATTGACGATCACATGGCTCAACCGTTGTACAGGATTCATTTAAAGGGCTGAAAGGCAAAGTGATCTATCTAAAAAAAAAAAATTCCCGACAAAAAGTATAGCTGATTTGGCGCTCATAGAAACTTCTTCCTTTTTTTTTGGAAATTGTATTGTTTTTTGGGGGAAGTAAGTTAAAGATAAACTGATCTACATATTCCTTTTGTTCACTTTTAGGAAAAGGGACACTGGAATATTCACTCTTTCCGTGCGGAGGTCGAGGAAATAATTTTACCTTCTTCACTTTACCTTTCAGCCCTTCATTTCATACCGCGCAGACTCACTCATTCAGTGACACAGTCGAGGAAATAATTCACTTCAGGAACTTACCCCTAAAATTTAACTCCGTGTTCATCAACATGGAAGTTTAAACTTCAACTGTGAGCTGGGCGTACAACCGATTCGTAGCTCAAGACCTAAATCTAAGGAAGGATTTAAAAGAAATTGGTGAATTGGTGGAGCAAAAACGCGAGGATTTATAGCTGTTCATGAATCGAAGAAGAAACCTTAAAAAAAATGCATGATTGAGCTATAATTAGTACCACAGGTTGAATGATTCCATCACATTTCCAAGTTTCTTTTCCTGGCGTGGGTAATCGGGAAAGTTCCAACAATTTCAAATTGGGCCAACGTGAGTGGATGTGCAGAAAATCCTCTGGGGAAATCTGAGGAGGAAATCTCTTCTCTCCTCTTAATTTGGCTCTGAGGGAAGAAAAGAAACGAAGCCTTGCCAGCACGAGTGATCGCGAGATGGCGGCCATCGACAGTACGTTACACTCTTAGAAAAAGGGGAGCAATTTTTCCAAAAAAGAGAGTAAAATAGCTAACTCCAGTTTCACCCCCCTTTCACTCTGGGAAAGGAGCGAATTTACTCCATCACCAAGGAGTAAAATTGCTCTCCTCCTAACCCCCCCTTTCACTCTGGGAAAGGAGCGAATTTACTCCATCACCAAGGAGTAAAATTGCTCTCCTCCTCCGTGAGTAAAAACGCTCCCATTAGAAAGTGATAGGGATGTCATGCAAATATGAAAGTTCTCATATACTGTGTGTCGTTTCGTTCTCGAACAGGCTTTGATCTTCCTCTGCCTGTACTGAACACAGCACATGTCAGAGGAGGGACGACCTCTTTTAGGGTCCATAGAGTGCCTGAGATATCAGTTCCTTATTTGCTCATATAATTGAGGTGTGACTGAATTAATTTTAGGAACACTCTCTATATATTCGACATCTCCTATGCGGATAAAATCTTACGTGTTCCAAAAGGATTCTCAATAGGAATATGAGCTTGTTTATGGCCTGGACTCCATGAATATTTCTTGAATATGTGGACAATAAATGATGAAGTGTCCATGTTTATTGATTCCTATAATGAGACTAGGCATTCGAGATCTCCTATGCGGATAAAATCTTACGTGTTCCAAAAGGATTCTCAATAGGAATATGAGCTTGTTTATGGCCTGGACTCCATGAATATTTCTTGAATATGTGGACAATAAATGATGAAGTGTCCATGTTTATTGATTCCTATAATGAGACTAGGCGAGACATATGTTGAGGTACTAAACAATCCTGCGAGTGACGATTCCAGGCAAAGAGGGAAGGGAAACTTTTGTGTACTGTGTGAAAAGCAAGACCCTTACCTCCATCTAGTGGCCTGATGAAGAACTTCAAGGTGTTCACTTCAATACGAGCAATGAGGGAGCATCTGGTGAGTAATAAGAAAGTAAATTCGAAAAGCTCACGATGTGCTCACTTTTTACTCCCCAAACGCTCGGAATTTCCTAAGAGTGAAGGAGGACCCGTTGGACGTTTTTTCGGGTATGATGAGGCGCGGTATGAAAAACTTCAAGGTGTCATAGGGGAAAAGCCGTTGTGAGTAACTCATAACTTTTTCATGGTTTTCATGGGTCCGAGAGGAAAGATGAAAGAACTGTATCTTAGGAAACGCACTTGTCAATTCATTCTACATTACGAAACGGCAGAGAAAAATATTTCCGTCATTTAAATTTTTTTTACCAGATGATTCCCAGCTGAGGGAAATCAGCCACGTTTCCCCTCGCCGCTCTGAGAACTGTTGATGGCGAGGATCCATGCGAATTGTTTTTTTCCTCTTCTGCTTGCCTCAGTCATCTTGTGCTTATGCATTCGCCTCTCCATCAACCTCATCTATGAGTTGAATTACCATCGATATCTCATAAACCTCACCAAGACGATAATCGGACCAGATGGAAATATTCCGTGCAGCTCACGAAGCATTTTGCGTGGTCCTCATCAGAAAGTAATCTCCTACAGTCTCTATGGACCCATGGGAAAGCCTCGGGCAGAAGCTTCGTATGAGAAGCTCATTTTCGAAATCCCAGACAGTGCCAAGACATGGTATCCAGGTGCTTTGCTCTTCTTTATATGATACAAATTATCACAGTGAAATTAATGCTGTTCGGACCTCAACCTAACTTATCCCATGTCAACAGGTTGGGTGGTGAGAATATACACGAATTATTCCAGAGAGGATGAAAATGCAACTTCTTGGATGCGAACTATCGAAGACAAATTCCCTTCAGTGGATTTCTGCCACGTGGCGAGTCTCCCTGGGCTCTCCGGAGACATCCAGAGAGTTCAGAGCAACGGGAGGGTGTGGAGGTTCCTGCCGATGATGGATCCCCTCGTTGACATCTTTGTGTCTAGGTCAGCTCGAATCCGTTCTGTCTCATGTGCCATTGGATGGCAAGAGGGTAAAGGTTCCCCTTTTTCGAGAATGAAATGGGACTTAGGATAATATTACGTACACTGTCTCTTTGTTTCCGGAAGCCTCGGAGACAGGAAAGCTTCACAGAGGTAACTACAATTCATCGTATTGAAGCGTCTGTTTTTGATTGACCATTAGAGACTCAGATTCCCCGCTCTCAGAGCGCGAGGCAGCAGCCGTGAAGGAGTGGCTGGAGAGCAAGTATATCTTCCATGCCATGAGGGATCATCCACATCATTGGCAACCCGCATTTGCCGGTGAGCTGCTCTTTCCTGAAGGTGGCGGTTTGTTAGTTTTGGTCCAGTGAGAACATGTTGATTCCTATCATCATCATGTTGATGCTCATCATGTTGAAGTATTCAATGGCAGTGAAAATAGTCCCAATGCTTCATATTTGCATAGTTTCCTCAACTCTAGTCGAATCTGGCCAAACACTTTGCCAAGACGACGCTTTGCCAATGCATGTAAAACGAAGAAAATCACGCGACCAATGCATTAATCATTCCATATTTTTGTTTGCTCCACCGCCACCACCGAATCTTGCGTCTCTTCTCCACTTCTTCCCATGTTCGAGTCCACGTCCATCTGCATCTACCTGGCTGAGGATCCAGGTGGATAGGATGTGGATTTGGAACCAGATGGATGTCCCCCCCCCCAATGAAACTTCACCTTGTCATTCCCGCTCGTATTTCTCGAGCCAGGTCGATGTCCCCCGGGTGGATTTTTAACCAGGTGGACATCACTCCAACAAGTACACCGAAGAGGACATCCACCTGCTTCCAAATCCACCTGGCAGGTGGACGTTTTGTAAGGCCCACCCTCCCTCAGCCATAGATCAGAACAACAGAACATTTGAGACATCTAGTACTTGAAGACTAATACTTCAAGTGGTTAAGGATTTGATCTGGGATATGTGATCCGAGATTGATCGAGATCTTGGCCGAAAAAAGAGCCAGCATTCGATAGGTCTAGAATGAGAACCACAAGCCCATCGATTGATGGAAGGCAAGATCGCATGCCGTTTGCAATGCCAAAGGAGGACCCATTGGCCTTTTATTTCGGGCATGATGAGACGCGATATGAAATATTTCACGGTGTCATAGGGCAAAAGTCGTTGTGAATGTACCCTCGTTGCTTATGATTCATGGTTTGCATGGATCCGAAAGGAAAGATGGATGTATAAGCGGAATGATTTTTACGTCTTATAGGAAGGTTGAGAAATAAAGGCTTATATATATAGGCGAGTTTTATACGCCCCACCCGGTATGAAACAAATATGCGCGCAACGGCCGCAACGCAAGCACGGAAGTTCGCATGACGGAATCCGCAGTTTCCAAAAAGGAGTTGATATTGGAATGAATAAGCATTTTTAACCTGGAATCCTAACAATTAAGGATTCAGAGAAGGTTCAAGGTTCACGCATGCACATACGCATATTTATTTCCAGAAAAAGTACGAGAACTCATATAAATGCGCTCGAATAGGTCTTTGGGGCGCAAAGGTGTCACAGAACCGAAGTTTCGTTCACCACATGGGGAGGAAGCTGATATTCGAGAGTGGGCGCGACAACCATAACGGTAGGGATCAACGACTCCTCAGGACCGTTTTGTGGCCGGAAGCCCACCAAGATTTCGTGAGTCTCGCACATCTTCCAAGGAGCCGTTTGGCACGCGTTCATCGAAGGCCTGATTCGGAGCCTCTCTTGCAGTTGGTGCATGCCAGCTTCCACTGTGATTTATTCGACGACGGAGAGACGAGAGCGTTCCCGACTCGCCGACCAGGTGGCTTCTGGCTCGGCTCGGGCACCCGACATCCTCCCGTCTTCGACGAGTGCCCGCTCAAGTGCAGACCGAAGGAACATCCCAACTGGACGACATGCTGAGACAAAACCAAGTCAACTCAAATCAGCATCGGTATCACCATGAACATCCTGCATTTTTACGGGATGCTTCACGGCATTGATGCTGCTCCAAGTCCCAGTCCTTTCCTGACGGCGTTGCGGTTCTCCCCAGGACTTAAAAAATCGGTCTGAATTTTTGCAGGAATCATATCAGACCTTGATTGTAACGGAAATATTCGTCAGCATACTCGAGAAATTCGACAAAGAATACTCCGAGCATGACGCGAAGAGCTACTCCCCCGTGCCCACGATCCCTTATTTCTTCGCAATTCCCTGAATCCCAACCCCTGGCTCTTGTCGAATGAAGAACGTTTTTCGCAATTTTTCATGGAAAAGCACTTAGTTGTCCTCGCTCTCGACCGCTGCCGCGGTGTTGAAGGCGCGTCGATGGAAAATTCTTGGACTGTAGGTATTCCACTGCATTGGCTGAAATCACTTTTCTCTAGTGCTTAACACTAACATCGATCTCAAATTGCTTTTCCGATGAGGTCGCGTCTCAAGTATAAATAATGTTGTTTTGTGACATTCTCTTATTCTTAGTCACGAAACTCAACGTCTTCCGGCACTATCCATTATGTGCTGTATTCATATACATTTTCCATTTCTATTTCCAAGCTGAATGTGGTTATTGATACCGATATAGCATTCGACACACTTTCATGAGCCACCATGAGCCACCATGAGTCATGTACAAGTGATGATGCAAGCAAATGCCAAAAAAATGTATAGAGGCTTTTGCGCCACCCTGTACATATGCTCCATATGTGCTCTCTGGCTCTGGCCTAGATCAGTACTTGCAGTACTTAGCTCGGCCTTGTGGTCTACCGAAAAACAGTTAGTCTTCGTGAACTTCGTGACTCCGTGAATCTCGCTCGTCTTCCAAGGAACCGTTTGGCTCATGAGCATCGAAGGCCGAATTTGGTCCACGCCAGCTTCCACTGCGACGAGTTCAACGACGGAGAGACGAGGGCCTTCTTGGCTCGCCGGCCTGGTGGCTTCTGGCTCGGCTCGGGCACCCGACATCCTCCGATCTCGAGTGGATGCCCGCTCGAGTACTAGGACGAAGGAACATCCCGACTTGTTGAGATGACGGAACCAAAAATGTTTGGAGTGATTTGAGATGTAGCGCTCCCGTGGTCTACCATGTTCTCGTCAGGCTTGGAATTCATTCCTACTTCTCTTTCCATATGCGTCCCATCGTTTTCGACACAGGAGGAAGGCGACAGCGAGGACAGACGGGGTGACCTTGTAATACGGTTGCTTTTCAACGATGTCGCTTCGAGAGGGATAAACCGCCTTTCCTGAATCCCTCGGTACCATTTTTAGCAACATCCTTCCAGTCTTCTGGCCACTCGGCGTCCGGGTATGCCGCAACGCGGACAGCCGTAAGAAACACGACACGAACTCGACTTCGAGTCACCATAGAGAAAGGTGAAGTGTTTGAGACTTCGCTGCCGCAGCTGCCACAAGCCGGGCTAGGGTTCCGTTTGTGCACGTTTTGTTCCGTTTGTTCGATGGTCGGAAAATGGGCGTGCCTGCACTTGTAGTCACATGTTTACCTGTACGTGTTCATCTTAGAGACTCGCATAGCACTCTTATGAGCGTGCAGGCTCCTCTTCTTACTATCGGGTGGATGAATGTGAGCACCGTCGCGGATGCATTATTAATTTTACCTAAAAGTCAAGAGCCACCCTCACCCCATTCTGCTCACCCACCTCGGCCATACTCACCCCTGCCGGAGGAATGACCCCCTCGAGCCAATCCTCATCCCGGGGGGTGCTCTGGCTCACCTAAAAACCCGCGGTCGGCTCATGGTTTCAGGCGCCGCGAGGCAGAACGCCTCCACCCCCTCGCATCTTGCGGGGGAACGCCTCCACCCCCTCGTCTTGTTATCTCGTTTTTCATCTTATCCTGAGGTTTGGTGCTACCTTAACCGAGGATCCTCTAGGCCCGTGCATTGTTCGCCTCTTCAGTAATCGAGCCCGAATATAAGAAGCGAACGTGGGAACTGCTTTCATGCGTGGGAGAAAGTCAGCGAGAAGGAAGGAAAATTTGCCTTCAGGGAACGATCAAAAATCTGCCCCGATGAGAAGCAGGGCATCAAACCGCATATCGGTGACATCCTTTTTAACCGTCCTTTCATAAGAATTATCCATCCGCCCATTCGCTTACATCACTCATCTCAAGGTTACAATTGAAGATGTAAGATGGCTCTTCAATCGCCAACCCGGTGAGTCGTCTGTAAAGAAAGTAAGCTGCCGTCTCCGAGATTTCTTGCGGTCAGTATCCGATTTTTTCCTTCATGCAGCAAAGGGAAATACATTGGAATCCCACTATATTATTATCCAAAGATGAAAGCCAGTCCAGGGAGACGTCTGGCAAGATTGGCCCTGAAGAAGGATTCAGTCCCCCGACACAAACCCACGATCGACTTGGGATTATTGGCATACCATAGGACAGTGATACAGTTCTCGTCAGAGCCTCTCGACTGAAGGTGAGACCACATGAGTGCTGTGGCACAAGGTGTAACGCAATGCTTAATAATAATAAAAAAGTGTCTGACCTACGTCATTAGGAAGATTCACCATCGAGGCAGTGAGATAAAACGAATCAACGGGTCTCCTTTGTGATAAGCTCTGTGGGAAACTCATTAGTAGCTGTCTGGATGGGACAAATTCTATCTTCTATTGTGACGGGAGGGCAGTTGGCCGGTAGTTATCGAAGTACTCCATAGCGCTCTTGGTACTATCGGTCACGCTGATGACCTCGTGACGTCACGTAGATAATTTCTATATGAGTGCGTTAACCGAGACAGGTGTGCCTTCGCCCTCGACTATTGTCTCAGCCGGAGAGTCACATCGCCCACGGACGAGAGGGACACGAAGTAATGAAAATGGGACACGAAGTAAGAAAATGGGACACGAAGTAATGAAAATGGGACACGATGTAGTCGACGGGCAAGCGCCGCGTTGCATCGGCGAATCGGGAAAATGCGGATTTTGCAGTCATGATGGCGCGGGTGAGACACCTCCCAGAACTGACATTGACACCTCCCAGAACTGACATTGACTCTCCCAAAATTGCACATTCCTCCAGTCCCAATCGATCTCCGACTCGATGAATTGCCCTCATCTCGAGGGTAATCCCCAGGCGCGGCCAGTCGAAGGCTCCCGCCGAAGGCCTCGACCCGCCTCGACCCGCCTCGACCCGCCTCGACCCCCTCACCTCTCCCGTTCCACGCACTCACGAGGCCGCTATCTTCTTCTCACGTTCAGTTTGTATTTCTGTCGAGAGTATTTCCTTTTCGCGAATCCACTCATCCGAGGACTTCTGGCGAAGGTATTTTTTCAGGTGGACACCCGTGTCTGTTTCCCCGCGGTTCACCTCAAATTCACCACAGGAAGTACCACAGGAAGTACCGCAAGATGCTGCCTATGTGCTCCATGGGTCTAACGGGTGCCCCCCTGAATCTTCCCGTTAAACTTGCCTCTTCGACCTTAGTGACACCGGGGACATCGCATCAGGCGATTAATTCTTGCACGTGCACCCTGTAACGTATATATGATGTGTATGTAACGCGTATGTCATGCTATTTTTATGTTATGTGCACGTGTACCCACACCGCAGTAATCAAGGAGGAAAACGTCGCCGCGATATGTAGTCAAACCTCTGATTGAATTAACTGACTAAGACGTCCCGCGAACATCAGACCATTACTCACAAGAATTTCGAAATAGAAAAACTCGCCGTACGACGTCGGACCCCGTGCCGATCAAAATTAAAACACGCGGACATCCCATTCACCCCCGCTAATCTGATCCCAAGAAACAAGGGGCTTATTAGCCCCTTGTTTCTCTCCCGAGCGAAACTGCCCACGCAGAAGTCGCAACAAAAAAACGCTGGTGGGAATGCTCTCGCCTGGGAACCTCCATCACGTCCGCCCCGAATAGCCGACCCAGTTAAGGAACTCGA